ATTGACTATAACTATTTGAATAGCGCAAGTACTTTTGGGTCAGAGCCAAGCCAATGCTTGTAGCAAGAACACAACCTTGTTGGTAAATGTCTTGTGTGAATTGCAACAAAGTTACTCATGCAGATTTCGGACATACTTTTGCCTGCATTTACTGCAAATATCCTTCATCGAGAGCTGTACCTAGGTAATTTTAATACTATTTATATACACCAGTACTATATAGTTTACTTTGTTACTTTTGTATGATTTATTTAAATGTTCCAATAATCAATAATAATAAATCTTTTCTCCATCATTATAGGGCAACTATCAATGTTCAGCTAGAAGATTCTACTGGAATATTAAATGCAAGTGCAATTGGAAGCCCGGCTGAAATACTGTTGAAATCTGATGCTGAAAGTCTGATGAATGGCTCAAAATCGGTACACTCTCTATTATTTTTCCTTACCTATTCTTTTAAATATTACTTCTCATAAAAATAAAATGACAACCTCAGGCAACTACTGCGAATGTCGAAGAACCGATGAATTGTGAAGAACATATCTTTTACATAAAGGTTACACAGCTGGAGCCAAATGCTGCTGAATACAAATATGAAATTGTGTTTGTTCTCGATCCATCCTCCACCATTGCTGATACTCCAGAAGGAACGAGTGAAAATCAGACAGATAGGAATCCTGTATGCCTTGTTGACAACAACAGTTCTGATAATGACAATGCCTCTCCACCAGCAAAACGGTCTCTGTTTCATCCTTCAAGTGAACCAATGATTTCCATCACAAATCCTGTCGCCAAACATCCAGAAAAAGAAAAGCTTGTCTCAACTAATAATCCTTTACCTAAGCATCCAGGGAAAAAAAAGCCAGAATGATTGTTAATGGTTACATGCACACTACAACCTGAAAGCTTCACTCCATGTTCTGCTGTCTCCATCCGAATGATTTCAATCATCTTTTGTTTTTATTTTTGCTAGCATCACAGGCATAAATCCCCTAACTTTTGAACATGTATTTTTGTGTTTTTGTGCTGGCAAAACATCTCAGAAGGAAACTCAATCTACAAAGGATGTAAATATGTTGTATGAT